CACGGCTTCTTAGTTCACGTAACATCCTAGTTGCTTGAGATTGACTTCAGAATTTCCTAACTTAACCAATAGTTGAATAGTCTCGGATCGTTGCCAGCTCGAGTCGCATCATTTCACTTTGATTAGTTTGATATCTTCTTGATATACTGAGTGAGCGTATTTTCCTAGTTGATATATCGTTGTCGTCTGTTCCCAGAAAGTTTTCTTCGTGATGTTCTTTGTTTGTTGTTCTCTCACGTTTGCCTTATGCAGCGTAATAAACATAACATAACATAACCCAATCGGGCGCGCATGCGAGATGGATTCGCAGAGGAATTATGCGTAGGTTGGCAAAATTATCATCGATGGGCTAGTTAGTGATTTTTGTAAGAAGCCCTCCAAAATAAGAGGATTTTGCATTGGATGAGGCTATAAGTACTGCGGCATAGCTCGAATTATTATATCTCAGGCCGTTGCTGGTTCGAAGAGAGCCGTCATCGCTTTAGGGACCGAGAGACTCTGGTGTTGTTCCTCTGAAACTTGGTTTTAACTCCTGTCTAACTGGAACTTTGAAAGCGATGCTGAGAGACATTTGAAGATAAGTTTCTTGTTACGGATTGAGGGAGTGGGATTCAAATACGTATGCATTGGTGCTAGTTCTTGACTGGAAAAAAGAACCCTCGAAAACGCTTAGAATGAGATCCTTTCAATTTTGAGCATTGTACAGTCTTTTTCGCTGCGGGGGGGGTGGGCGTATCAGCAGGGAGGGATTTGGCGCGGCACCAAACCCGCGTTTTCCGCCGGTTGTTAAAGCGAACAAGCGACGAGACTGTATCATATCGTTCTTAGCAGTCGTTTTCCGCTAGTTGTTACCGCTTACCCGCTTCAACAGCTGAGGAGAACAGTTTTGGCAGCCTGACACGCCCGTTTACTCGCAGCGAACAAGATTGCAAGGTCATAAGAGGTCAGGTAAATCGTCATCCTGGCAAATAAACTCGTGCAAGGTGTCATTTTCTTCAGTGGACAGTGAGAGATATCCTAATCGAGAAGCAGCAATGAAAGCAATACTTACGGCTCAATTTAAGCCGTCATTTATGAATTTCCTATCGTTGACTGATTCTGACGAGTTGTCCAATTTGGCTGACGTGAACCAATTAGCTGTCATGACACGTCAGCGAGAATTTGATCGCGAGAAACGACCACCTCTCCTATTTGTTGAGGCCCTTGGCGAAATCCAAGAAGGTTTCTGTAACGGCGCGCCCCGCGTCCTTAACGTTAACATTCGGGAGCCTTGCTTGGAGATGATCATCTTGCCTCCAAGCATGGAGGTTGCACTTGTTCCGCAGCTCAGAAACCTGAAGAAAGCGCGATCGCTCGCGGCGGAACCACGGCTCTGCCCGTTGGTGGTAGCGACGCTCTTCTCTCCTTTTTTATTGCTACTCGATGGTGCGGTTGTTCCGCTACTTATTCCCTCCATTTTGAATGGTGAGGGTGGAGTGGAGAAAGAGCTGGCTCTAACATGAGAGCTCGTTCGATCAAGCTCTTTCGTCGCCTTATGCGCACAAGTGCGGTTCAGCATGGAGCATTAGAGCGCGTTCAGACTTCGCGATCCGGATCGCGCGATCGCTGTGATCGCGCGATCCATCGCGCTACTGTGGGTGAAATTACACCGGGGGGAGTCATCATGTTTATTGTTCCTGTTCTTTTTTTCCTTTTCCTTCTTTCTTCCTTTGTGTACATAACGCCCTCCTAATTTTAAGGAACGTTTCGAAATATCTTTGAGTTATTTATTATTTCCTATGTAAAATAGTACTAAATATACAATATGCTAATTATTATACTGAATTTTGCATCTGAGTACGTTCAAGCGGAGTATTGAACATCTTGTTCCAAAAGTAAGACACGCAGAACTTTCAACAGCGGGTGATGTTGTTTCTCTCCCTTCCCCCGATTTTGCCAGTCCTCCAGATATTCACTTTACTTTTGTCACATTGTGTTTGCTTTGTTTGTTCTGCCGTCCTCCAGGTCTATACACAACCTTTCCTTTCGACGGTTTCTGCAAATCGTCAGTATTGCGAATATGAACACGGCCTAAAAGACATCAAAAAAGGTCGAACTTACTTTTATATCGTTTTTGGAACTGCCTATTGGAGGCAGGATACAGCATCGTGATGTGAGAAATGGTGATATCAGTACGACTCCCCAGAACTTTTTTGTTGAGTTGAGTTGAACATGAACGAACATGACCCCTCCCGGTGTAATTTCACCCACAGTAGCGCGATCGCGCGATCACAGCGATCGCGCGATCGCGAAGTCTGAACGCGCTCTTAAGGGGGTTTTTAGTGTTCTCTTCCTTCACTTTTGTATTATCACCATCTTGTCATTAGTGTTTGAGATGCACAAGTCGCCATTTTTGAACGCGGGGCGTGCCTTCAGTTAAGCTAAATTTGAATTTGGGAGAGCATTCAATTGCGATGCTCATCAAATAAATCTTTGTTGATGCTGTATGTGATGTGCATTCGTTCACGATACCATTTCGATTTAGGAGCCACAGCCGGCAGGCCTCTCAAGGTGTCCCCTACCGTAATGTGGAAAAACCTCGTAGAATTTGCGACATTCGCGATAGGCAGTGGCAAGTCAGTCACATTTCTTTACAACAATACCGCCTTGATTTGTCATCTGGATGTGAATCATCAAAACATTCAAAGGCATGTTGAGAGGGGCATCATTTTATGATTGGTCTTATACAGGAAAAGCAAAATGAAATCATTGAAATGGAAATGAGTGTTCTTGTACAGGAGTCGCAAGCTGGATTATTGAAATGGAGGTATGTTGCTCCTGTTTTTGTATTTATCATTTTCCATTTTTCTATTCAGTCGTTGTTTTGCCAAATCCATTCTGCGGAGCGGGGTTGTCAGAAATGCTTGTAGTGATTATATTCAACGATCCTGAACTTGATATAAAAAGTCCACTGTTGATTTAGACTGCATTTTGATTGGCATAACTTTTTTTTCAAGGTTTTCAAGTCGTTTACTGTCACTCCATTCGAAGTAAATGTTGTATAGGCGTGAATAGCGTCATCCTTTTTCACACTCAATCATTGCAGGCCCTCTTGGTTATCGTTTTTGGGTTCACGTAGATGGATGATTACATTGTTGTGTTGGTACTGTGCAGTACAAGGTATTATTGTCAATGGTCTCGTGCCTTCTGCGATCTCATCTATAGAACGTCGGTTCAAACTTAGCACTAGCACTATGGGTCGCATCGTACAGGTACTATATGGTTCGTAGTTCTATAGTTTTGAAGCGCGGTAACGCGCACTGACCAGCACTTTCATCTGGTTGTTTCGTTGTGGCACTTTTGGGTCAAGCATTGGATCTTGACAGCCAGGTCCTATATCATTTATTTCACTGTTCTACTCGATAAATTCACAATGAATTGAGGTTTCCTTCTATTTTTCTAGTGGTTGCTACCGGTGGAGGAACTTGGGGAGGAGCTTGATGTGGGAAAAAATTCCTTGTCCCTGTCCAGTGGTCTACAAAATCAAAATGATCATAAGAAGGCAATTTCAATTCTTTCTAATGATGTTCGGTTAGCAGAGAAGCGGCATAGGCCTAGGTTGCCGTGATATAACTGATTTGGCACTGAAGTGGCGCATTAAGTTAACTAGCTAGGAGTGATAGCTAGATTGACGTGCAATGTCGCATTCCGATACTCTTCTACTGCTCATGCTGCTGTATTCCATGGGCATTTATTTCATAGGAAGTGAGTGAATTTTTCAGTTTTACGACTTTGGATACGTATTATTTTGTATACCTGTGTCTTACTTTGGTGGGCGGCATAGCAAACCTGCCGTACTTGGTGCTGGTCTCGCTCTTATTAGTATTGGTAGTTTACTGTTTTCTACGCCTCACATGCTAGCAGATAGTTATTCGACTAATCAAGATCATAAATCGCTTGGCGCATGCTCTATAAAAAGTAAGTAATGCTGGTATTTTCATGATCTACCTAACGCCTCTCTGTTTTTACTTTACTCATTTTTCTAGCTATGTGGAATTCCACGGATGTGGACACGTCAGCGTTGACAGCCAGCTGTGCAGCACAAAAACAAAACCAGGTGCTTTTCTTTGTCCAGGCACTTTTTTCAAGTTTTTTATACGTTCGTATATTTTATCACATGGCCTTTGTCATTACAGCCCGGAACGTTTCAATACGTATTTTTGTTCTGTTTGGCTCATTTTTTACACGGAATTGGTGCAACGCCGCTGTTCACTATCGGAGTCTCCTATATTGACGAAAATGTCGGCAAAGCGCTTTCATCTCTGTTTGTAGGTAAATATTTCTATGATTAAATTGTTTTTCTGTGGACCTGTTCTCCCTTATAGGCATTTTCTACTCTTTCATCGTATTCGGGCCAGCTGCAGGATTTCTGACTGCGGGTAAATTTCTCACATACCACACGGATTTCTGGCATCTTCCAGCTGAACACATTTCGCGGTGAGTTAGCTGACTCTGAATGTTTCCTTCAAGAGTTCTCATCATTTTTTTTCTGTTGTAAACCTGAAGCACATGTCAAGATTATAAGCAGGAATTGTAGATGTTTGATCCCTAGGTCGTAATGGCCATTTGTAATTTTAGGCCTCGATCATGGGAAGTGTTTTTAGACGCTGATCTCAAGCCTACCTTACCTCAGAGCAATCCTCCGACGAATGGAGCTATAAAGCTTTTCTAACTAGCAGCAGGTCATAGGATCGGGTCCCTGTTAAGCTTGATTTTCTGCTTGTGGGATCAATAAGAGTATCGGGGAAAGCGCGAATCAAGGGGATGCGTGCCATAGGAGTGGATAAGAACTGATCGACCGCTCGGTCGTTGGCGAATCGGGAGAATAGGGCTACTGTTTTTAGGAGTTGATCGAAGTGTGAAAGCAACTTAACACGTTGGCAACGAGCCTTTCTTCAGACGGACGGCGCATTCTCTTACTTGAAGATTAGTAATTTTGAAAAACATTCAAGGTTCTCATCGAAGTATATCAAGAAACGCCCGAGGCGAGGATGTGAATCTGGGATCTTTCTTACAATTTACCTTTTACTGCTCTCCATCTTCCAGATTCAGACCAGTTTTACCGATTTTTTACCGATTTGGCATAAGATTTGCTTCTGGGGGTAGTTGGACCTCTCGAATACGTTTCGCACATTTAGCGCTGGTACCTATAGCTCGGACGTGGCGTCGGCGCCATAGGCGCCGGCCACAAGGTGTCGCAGATCGATGAATTCGCTAAAAACCTGTTTCCACGGGTAGCGTGACCTCCTAAACAGGAATATCACATTCGCTTGGCACGAAACTGCCTTGCGCCCGCGTTACAGAGAACGGCACTACACATGTTTTGTCCTCGGCGCGTGTAGCGGGCTGCGTATACAAACTCACCCGGGGCGCGGTTTCTTCGCGGCACCGCGGCGACGGGCGGGCGAAGGGTGATCGCTTGCGCCTCCGCCACTGTGCTTCAATCAGAAGCCCCTTTTATGCCCCATTATGTGGAAGGAGGAGGAGAGAAAAGAGGATTGAACAAATAGTGAACGCTCATAGGTGAGTTAGTGGTAATGGTGAGCAGAGAATACAGAAAAGTCGAGAATCAGAGCGTATTATTTCAGTCAGCCGCGGAACTGGCAGAAGATTCTCTTCTCTTGTAGCGCGATTACCAAGCCGTTTTGTACCAAGTGATGTACGGACGGTTAGATAAACACGGCAAGGCAAGAGAGTACCTTTTCTGACTGCCTGTGACAGTGATCCTCCCTCTTGCTGAGGCTCACCCTTAGCGGAGGAAGTGACTACAATTTCGAAAAAGGAAGCAGACGACTAAAGCTAGGTTTGTCCATGTTTCCCTAACCGCTCTATCTCATACGAATAGCTTGGAGTGCGCGCTACACGGGACGAGGTCGATGTACGCATGTTGCGCCGTCGCCTTTGACTTGGACGCTTGAGTATTTCCTGCTAAGCAGATGTGATATTCATGATCAAGGGGTCGGACTACCCCTGGAGACAAGTTCTTGACGAATTCACTGACTTAGGGTATTTCGGCGCCGGTACCTATGGAGCGAGCACAAGGCAGTTCGTGCCAAGCGACTGTGAGAATCGTTTCAGAGGATAGAGCTACTCCTAGGGACAGTTTTCAACGAATTCTCTTGTTTGTACATCTTTATTATTAGAACAACATACCGTCAGGCAGCATTGTTTGGCATGGTCCCACGAGACAGCGTGCTGTCGCCCACCATTGTGTGACATCGTTGTCAACGTGTTAAATATTGCTTTATCTCAATGTCGGGAATGGAGAGAACCAAGGCTCATAAATGACATTTTTGAGAAGCGTAGAGCCGGGTTTTGTTCATATGGAAGACAGTACTGCCTATGAAAGAGTCTTGTGCTTTGGTAACTCCCGCTATAAGATAGTAACTTTAACAATCCTGATAAAAGCTACCTTCAATCCAATTTAGTAGAAGTTTCAGTTCTTTGCTCGATTCTACTTTTTAGAGATCTATTTTTTCAGAGTGAGTGGAGATGAGACTGATCCGTCATGGGTGGGTGCTTGGTGGATAGGCTTCGTGCTAGCTTCTTTTATTGCAATGATTGCTGTTGTTCCAATTATCTGTCTCCCCAAAGTATTACCAGAATCGTTGAAATGGCATAGGTAAGCACTGATAAAACTTATTTGAAATATTGTTACACTATCCATGCCGTATTTGTTGTTCAGAAATCGTTTGGTGGAAACATCACAAGCAGGACGAAGGCGTACTCCTGAGTGCTGTGGTTTAGCTGGCACCAATAAAACGGCGGCACTCTATCGTGATGCTCCTTTACCAGGTGATTTTAAAAATTTTATGTTGATTTACCATTTGATTGCTATGTTTTTGATTTTAAGAGGAATCATCGTTGTTATACACTTCAATAACCACTCGTGGTAGAGGACCGCTATGGTACAAATTGTGGCTGGATGTGAGGCACATACCCATAGCAATTTATCGGATTCTCACCAATGCACCATTTATGCTGATTACACTCGCAATCGCTATTGACAGTCAGTTCATGTGGTCTACATTTGATAATAGGTTGTTTTGCTGTCTGAACTGTTTCATGTAGGTCTTGTCGTTACTGGTACATCGTCGTTCATGTCAAAATACTTGGAGAGGCAGTTCAATGTACCACCAAGCAGATCGAGTCTTTTGATAGGTGAGTAACAGTTGAGAATTATCGTCATTATATGGGGTTCAGGACTTACTAGTCGCATAATCGCACGTGAATCAGAATCTCGTTGACTCGCTGCAGCAGTCCGGCCTCAGATCAACAAGCCACCATAGCTGCGTCTTATATCGTTTATTTCACACCCTTGTATCGAAAAACTAGACAGTCGATAAACTGCACGCTCGCGTCAAATTATCTTCAATGTTTAACGATTTTCATAGAAAACACGTTTGCTTATCTGCAGAATGAAGCAGAAGTTGCACAGCTGTCGAAGGGTGCCACTTTTTCTTTCTAAAGTCCGCAGGAATGAAGCTGGAGGGAAGGGATGGTTAAATGTTCTGTATCCCCGCCCACTTGTCACGCCCCAGACACGTAACACGCCGCGCGATCATTCATACCTTTGGTCACAACGCACTAGTTGTCTGCGCTCTGTCATTTGTGTGGGGTATCATTGTTTACTCGAGCTCTGCGGTTGTACGGACTGTGCTAACTTGTTGCAGTTTGAAGATAGTTCACTTATCAGAGATAAGGCTGAAAAAAGTAACGGGATAAGGCTGGCATGAATAACTGATTTGCCGTCAAGGGGCAATTAAATAAACTAGCTAGAAATAGCGGCCGACCTGCGCTGCGTCGCGACTCGGTTCTCCTGAATTATAGCCCCGTTATTGCTGTTTACGGCATAGGCAGCGTTCAGACTTCGTGATGATAGTTGCAAAGGCGCTTCAGTTCTATAGACGCGAACGCAGCCGCAGACGGGAATAGATCGGCGCCGCCCAAGCGGCCAGTGCCAATCGATACCAGTCTGTATGATTAGACAATGCGCGTACACTTCAGTCCACACAGTTTCTCTCTATGCACAAGGGGCGCCTATCGATTTTCCTCTGCGGCTGCATACGGGCCTCGACCGCCATTGCAATTGCAGCTCCCTATAGCGCATCCAGTGCGTCGTCGCGTGTTACGACGTCACACAGCATGTCGATGCGCGTCATCTCCGAGTCTGAACTGTGCCCTGAACAGGTGATCACCTTGTTTGTTTCATCGCTCTTCAACGGTTGTCCTTCCAGTTGTTTATTTCCTTCATGCATGAACGTTCAGGATGTATTATGGTGCCCATGGCCGGAGTTGGTTGCATGATTTCGGGCTTTATAGTACAGTACTTCCGGTTGAATTGTGTAACAACACTGAAACTCGCTGTTGGACTACTGTTTGTCTCGTTGGTGCTCACCCCAATGTATCTCATCTATTGCCCACATGATCCTCTCGTCGGTGTCGAGACAACATATCCGGATCGGTGAGTAAGCTCTTTGATTCCTTCCTTCGGACCTGATCTATTTTTTTCCGTTGAATTGCTTACCTTCGGGGGTCAAGGGTTCATTTTTGTTTTTGGAACTGCCTGTTCTAGTTTTGTGGATGCCAAGAATGAATCTCTTTTCAACTTTCAATTTCTGCAAATTTGCAGGGATGGTCAGATTTCCATTGGAAATTACTCGGACATTGAACCATCGTTACGTAGTCCATGTAACTCGCATTGCCTGTGTAGCGAAGCTGAATTTCGTCCAGTTTGTGCTGAATTTGTTGATGGACGGCAGCTTTCGTACTATTCACCGTGTTTTGCTGGATGCTCGGAACCTTATACACCTATGCAAAAGGTATTGACGGGTATTTGATGGTTACAGTTTATCGCATTCAGGGCACAGCAGAATCAGCCTTTCCATTTAGTTGACTCGAATGAATTATAGTCATAATCCCTGCAATCGATAGGGCGTAGGACGGGGACATGGCTTGGAGCGCAGCTAAGGCAGATTTCCTACCAATCGTAGCGAGCTCAGGATGGCATCACTGTTGGAACTTTGGCCGCCCTACCTGCGCTCCAATACTCGCCGCGTTACACGCATTATCATTTGCGGGGGCACTCCTCGAACGTGTTGGGCTACATACTTGTCTGCACCTATGCATCATGCACTGACTACAGTGCCAAATTACTAGAACTGTTTTTAGATATACTCGAACTGTTCCTGTGTAGTGGAGACGGCACGTCTTCATGTGAAACAGGTGAAGAAAGGCCTGTGTGAATCGAAATGTAAAGGACTATTAGGATTTCTCATTATGTTCGCCCCATTATCACTTTGTACGTTTGCTGTCGTCGTTCCTGTTACATCTGTGATTCTGAGGTAATTGATTGAATTGATTGATCCGATTCGTTCATTTGACATTCACAGTGATATTAGTCGTTCGTTGTTCTCCCGTCAGCAAAGCACGTTCTCAGAACAGTGGACTACAACGAGCGTTCCTTTGCTTTGGGTATTCAAGGAATCCTCGTACGTGCCGTAGGAACAATCCCAGCGCCTGTGCTCTTTGGTTGGATGTTTGACGTGAGCTGTATACATTATCAGTCGGAGCCCTGTGGTGACAAAGAGGTCATTTTTATTTTCTGTTTCCACCAACCGAACATTTGCAAGTCTTGCGTTGCTTGGTGAAAATTGCAAGGAATTGTGAAGGATTTTACGTCAGCGAAGACGTGTGACAGTTAGTAAACTCTTTTATGGCGTGTCAGTGGTGCTGATACCATACTGAAGGCACAGTGATCTGGTGGTATGTGCAGGTAGTGTACTACCTCGCATATGCCGTAGTCCTGTAGCGAATACTAGAGCACACAGAGTCTACAAACAGCTGGTACTCAATACCTCTAGTCGTGCAAATGTTCTGTTTTTCTCCGAACTGTCACGCCTGTATAACATTCTATGACCACTGTAACCTCACACAATCCAATTTTTTACTCATATGGAGTGCCTCCACCCCGGAACATCCCTGAAAAAACTCATCTCATGGCTCGCGACATGCTTCCGGCTCCTTTCGATGCCTAATCATCAGCCTCATTCCTATATTTCTCTGTGCTCTGGCTTTTCGCCCAAAACCCTCGCCAAAAGTTCTAGTTGTTACGTAAGCATGAATGCTCTGAGCATTTTTGAGCGTTCTAGGCATGGGGCATACTTAGCTGTTTCTATTGTATGTTCATAATTCAGTGGTTTTTTTTGAATAGGTTCTACTTTCCACTTATTTTTTTCAAATGACTCTAGACGAGAATTCCAGAGTGATAGCTGCTTGCTTTATTCCAACAAATTGCTTGCTGATCTCTTCCTAACGTTCTCAATCATTGGACAGGTGAGGGTTACTTCTTGTTATGAAAACCTACACCTAAGGGCGCTGTCAGTCAGAGAGGCTAGTTGTGAGCAAGTTAGTGTGGCGGGTTTGAAACTGAATTGTTAGGGATAGGGAATACCTAACATCCGAAAATTCAGTTTCCGATTCCATGCTTGGTTCTCGTCTGGAAGACGTTTTTCCTAGCGTCATCCGCCACTGAGTTTAATTTCATCGAGTTAATGGTGAGCTACTCAAGAGGACCCCTACAAGTGATAGAGAGCTGGCTCTTTTGTCGATTTTTTCATTCCTCTAGCAAAGTTCTCCGGAGAACTTCCTACCAACTCTAAAGAGGGTCTTCCCTGAGTTCAGCGTTAGAAGATCATAGTTTTGATTCAATTTAGTATAACTTAGATGTTGCAAAAGCGCACCTGTGCATGCATAAATAAATAAATTACTTTCAGCCAACCTGACCATAGCGCTCCCTCGTCAAAGCGAGCGAAAGCAGCGTTACGCAATATTACGCGGCCGAATACTATTGCATGAATCCGTAGGCGGTTTCGTCAAGTACCTCTGCCGTAAAATCCTTATTTTTAAACCTTATTTTTGCCTCTTTCAATCCGAGATAGTTAATTAAGAACTGCTATCAGCCAAATTTTTGCAATAACTAGGTGTAAGAAATCTTGATGGGTGTGCTCAGACCAATCCTTATTATCAAAATAGTCGGGCTTTTTCTAGTGCAATACGGACACATTTCCAGTCGGCCGAACGCGTCGAAGCGGCTAATTGCGATTGGTTGGAGCTGACCCATCACAGAAGGCATTTCTTTGGCGCAAAGTGAAATTCTGGTAATGGAACATGTGCAAAAATGTAGATGTGTTTTAGAGAGTCAGGAGCGTGAGGGGACGCTAGGCCAGTGTTACTAGGACAAGGAACTTTTACTGGTCTGAACAGTAACTTGTGTCCTACGTCAAATATTACCGAAATGGAGCCATGGCGTGAATAAAACGATGGGCATGGATGAGGAGGGTACATCCTCTTTGTCGAGCCACAAATAGCACTGGGCTGGAGTAGTGTCGTAAAATAATGTTCACTCATCACGAGTAAGTGGTACCGGCATCCACGCCGATGCATTGAGCATGGTTCACGAGTTTACTTCTATGGTACTCTCTGCAGGGTAGGCGCGAATGCTTTCTGTCGAAATGAAACATTTTACCGAATCCCATGCCTCCAGACCGCGCTGTCGCAATTTTTTGGGTAGTTGGTGCATCCGCCTGCGAAGGAGCACCTAGGTCCTATGGGTAATAGTGGATGGGGATCTTAAAGGCTGCTAGCAGGTGACTCAGGAATGGTTTGTGAGTGGCATGTTCACCAAATGGGCGGAAATGGCGTAGTAAAAGCACTGAAATACGCACTGGTTGACTCCTACAATTGATTGCATTGGCCATGTCGCTTTCAATGTACCTTTGCAATTCTGACTAGGGAAGGTCGTCAGGTCGAAGTGGCCATTTGTGATGAGATGTAGATCACTAGACGTGGTTTTGGACGCTGATCTGCCTTCAAAATTTGCAAAGCGATTCTCTGAACGGAGTTATGGAGCCGCGTTTACCACGCAACAGGTCATGGGATCGGATCCCTGCTGAGCTTAACTTTTTTGCTTTGTTGCGCAAACGTGGCAAAAAGTGATTTTGCCGTCACTACTACTTCAGTCTCACCTGAGCTTGTCTGAAGAAAAGTTTGCCTCCATTTATTACTGCGCTTGGACTCCTTGTAGACTACAGTGCACTACAGTGCTTCTACAAGGAGTCCAAGCGCAGTAATAAATGGAGGCAAACTTTTCTTCAGACAAGCTCAGGTGAGAAGTAGTAGTGACGGCAAAATCACTTTTTGCCACGTTTGCGCAACAAGCAAAAAAGTTAAGCTCAGCAGGGATCCGATCCCATGACCTGTTGCGTGGTAAACGCGGCTCCATAACTCCGTTCAGAGAATCGCTTTGCAAATTTTGAAGGCAGAAGATCAGCGTCCAAAACCACGTCTAGTGATCTACATCTCATCACAAATGGCCACTTCGACCTGACGACCTTCCCTAGTGAGTGGAAGTGGAGCGCATAACGCAGTACTAAAGAGGAAATAATCGATGCCGTAAGTCTAAATATTTCTTATCATTTGGATTGACTTTGGCTTTCCTAACTCATGAAATACGCAGTCCATGAGCGAAGGTAGCACGGAGAACAGTGAAGTACTTTCTTGAACATGCGGCAGCGTTCAGACTCCGCCATGGAGCGTGTCGACGCGCTGTAACGCGCGTCGACAAGTTACGATTGCAACAGCGATGCAGTCATATAGAAGCGAACGCAGCCGCAGACAGGAGTCGACACTGGTCACTAGGGCGGCATGAAAGAGAAAAGTTGTGATTGTCTTAGGCGCTCGCGATGGGCATTCTGACCACTGTGCTAATGGTGTACGGCGGCACGCTACAGGACGATCCGCTCCCAGACGTACCGTTGGCGGACGTGGATCGTGTCGTTGAAGATGCCGAACGAACGCATACGGAAACTGCAGCCCCACTTCTTCAATAAGCGTCTTTGAATCCGGTGCCCACTTTTTTCGTCGTCGCTTAGTCACCCTTCTGTTTTTCATGCACTTCTTTAGTTATAGTAGTCGCACAGTTTTTTCTTCGGCTATGACACGTTGTTGTTTATTGTTTTTTTTTATTTCATAGATATATTATATCCAGCGATCGCGACTTGTAATACGGTTACCATAGTCAAGTTGTTGACAGGTGCGGTGGTTTTGATACATCCTGTTATTTTTTAAGTTTCTACTTTTTTTATCGCCTGAATATCTTCTTTGATGGACACTATGCCACAACTGTTCTCACAGCGAAAACCTTTGTCTATTTTTTTCTCGTTAACGCTTTTTAGTTGTCTATAATCCCTCCCGATTGACACCATCCCGTTTGAATTTATATCCGGTGCATCTTTCTTTCTTTTCACAAAATCTTAAAGTTCTAAAAATAGTGAATTCCCGGAACTGATTATTGCTTTAATCTCTCGATACCGGTAATCATTTTGGAATACAATGCTCGGTGCATAGTATAAAATTTTATAAAGCTTATGATATGCAGAACATCTCAATAAAGATTGTATAGTGACACTTTATAGAGTAGTGGTCGGAAACGTGGCGCGTTTTCGAGAATTTCTCGGAACCAGAAGGAGTACGAAGAAATCATTTCTCATATTTATGGTCCCCTGAGTCAAAGTGTTCAAACGATCGGAAGCATCGAAGGTAATAGGCCCAATGGCTGGGGGCGGTCGGTGGTCGCCAACGTCATTGGTGGAAAGGCTAACTGCGATGTGGCCAGACGCCCTCCCGCAGCGCCTCCACCAATGACGCTGGCAGCACCGCCAGTGTCCAACAATCGTGCCCACTTCCTCTTTTATGGTGCGAACGAGGTTCTGTTTCCAAGAAAAAGAAAAGCACTAAAATAGGTTTTGCCTAAGAGGAGGACCTTTCAGGGACACATTCCAGCAAAAGGTTAATGGATACATGTACGGATTTCTAGGTTCTAAGGTTTATCAGTTAAGTAGGAAACAGGGGAACTTCTTAAAACACTCAAAATGGGGTCGCTTGATGTTCAGCTCGGGCGAGCGTGAAAACGTATAGTCGCCCAGCGCGATGATCAAAAGGACAGCTGTTAGCGATAGTACACAGCCAGAACATAATGAATGTACCAATGTATTGGGTTGGCACATAAGTTTCGTTTTTTTTTCAAGTTTCCTATCAGATGATATCAAGCTTGCTAGCAAAACATTTCATCTTTGGAACGAAATTTCCGGTTGAAAAAAAACGAAAGTACTTATGTGCCAACCCAATATTATGGGAGGAGCTAGACTGGAGGGGGCGTAGTCAGGGATACGTCACGGGCCTCTGGTGTCGTTATCATGCGTTTTCGCGTGGTGGAACGTCGCACTTCGAGGACTTGCTTCTTCTTTATGGGAAGAGAGATTGTACTCATCAAATCATTGCGGAATATATCTTGCTATAATTGCAGTGCATATCTGAGAGCGAAAAGAGCTTTTCCAAGCACGCACTTGCGAACGCGGCGATGGCTGCGCTGGGTACAAATTCAAGAGAGGCGGATGCAAAAGGGAGGGAGTCGGCATGAGAATATGTAACCGTGGTTGTGGCTTACCTTGGAACCACATTTTAGCCTTAGGAAATTGCCCATAGGAACTTCCCGCATAAACACGACCAGCGGCGGACCACTGGACTTGAAGACACATTCTATGTTTAGCCGTCGCAACGTCATTGCGAGGCTGAAGAAAATGGTGTGCTCTTCATCTTCATCCATGAAGAAAAAGCAGGAAAGCGTGAAGGAAGCCTATTGAAGATCATAATTGTTGCAGTTGATTCTGAACATGAGCAAGGGGCTGAGATATGCACGGATATCAGGCGCTATGCTGGCCCTAAACACAAGAAATAGAAGATCGCAAAAGCGAACGAAACGACCACATGGGAAGGGGGCGGAGTTCCTTTAGGACAAGTGCAGCTATCGGACCCACCTTGCGCCATGCGTTGCCTTTAAAGGCACGGTCCGCGATCAGGTATCGAAGTTGAAAATATGGCGTCAGGAGGTTAGAGTGGTCCGCGACGAACAACCTTGTACCGGTTTCGCGGCAAAAAATTCTAAGGGAGGGGCGCTATAGCGCAATATAGGTTCAGTGGTTCCTCCTTTTTTCCAGTGACTCCGCCTCCAGACTCCGCCTCCAATGCCCGGCTTTCAGTGAAAAACGAGATTGCAGGACGAAAAAGCATCAAAATTGTCACTTTTAGAGTTCTTATCGGTGAATCAGCTGTGCGTATGAGGGCGTAGTGTGAGAGAGAGTTAATTGGGCACGTACAAACTGGGATCAAAATGGGGTTCTATCTAGGGCAGGTGGCATGTTTTTTGTGCTTTTTTTCTTCACTGTCGAGTTACTCAACCCCTTGTCGTCTATATGGAACCCCCCAATCCACTATTTTGATGGCGAGAAATCGCGGGC